TGATTTATTATAGTCTTTCGTTGGTTTTGTAGCTGAAATATTATTTATTAAATTGACATGCACATAAAAACAATAGTGCAAAATAAATATTTCTAACTACAATCACAACACATTTAAGCACATTCGAGTCAGCATGATGATGAGAAATGTAAAACATCGTTGGTATTATTGTCGTCATCGTTATCATTAATATTTACAATTAATATTTTTAATTATTGCACAGATTTCAATAAGTCATCACATCATTACTTAGATAGCTGTTTCTGGTTTTTGTTAGTCCTAATTAATGTTGTTTTCAAATACAACAAATCCCTTAATATTCAATTAGCAGTGGTGCTCATTCAGTTTTACTGGGTGCTCCAAAATTTTTTCTGGTGCTCCCAAATATTTAAAGTTGGGAGCACCGGTGCAACAAAGTAAAAAAATTAATTGCGAGCCCTGCTAATTCACTTTTTTTTTTTTAAGTTTGCGACAAAATATTTCAAAATTCTCATTTAACATGCTTTCAACGAAAAGTTTGGGCTTGGGAGAGCCCATTTGTCCTGCGGGGACAGTTGCAGCTGGTTATGTGATGGACGGGTGGGAGAAGTGGCGCGTCCTGTGCCTGGCTGCTCTGTCTCTGGAGGATATTCAAGATGTCTACCTATTCGGAACTTTGATAACAGGGTTTCTGCTGATGGGCTTATGGAGTATCAAAGATTGATAAAAGCGGTCAGTGCTGCTCAAAACCCCACCAGGCCGGCCGGCTTGATTGAAATTCATATGGGTAGAGCCGCAAATGCTCAGACTATGGACCCAAAACTGGACAACATCAGGGTAAAATTAGCACCTTTGCAACAAGATTTGGCCAGACCTGGAGACCAGTGACAGACATTAAATATCTGTGAAACTGGCAGATAATGACCTAAAGTTGAAGTATTTTCCTACTGTTTCGGCTCCCTGTTTTCTTTTCTCCTACCAGACTGTCTCGGCTGGAGAAAAACAACTTCTCCTGGATGGCAAGATAAGGAGCGCTCTGAAATTCCTGCTCCCTGTCAAGGACACACACACACACACATACGCAACTACAGATAGACAATCACCACTTAGCCCCTCATCCAACGCCTGTGTGTGCTTTCACCCACTGGAGGAGGTAGGCGGGTCTGCGACCAGCACCTCCATGGCTGCAGGACCAGATGGCTGCCCGCCCTCATCAGACTACATCCACACCCCCTGTTGCAATGTTGTGCTTAATTACAGGGGCTCTTTTTCTGTCTCCCTGGTCCCACGTTGCTCTAACTCAAGGGCAAGGTGTGAGGGAGTTTTTTTTTTTTTTTGCCTCCATTTCCTGACATGTATCTAGTTTCCTTTCCTAAATGTTACCTCCTGTGACCTGTCCTCCCCTGAAAATTGTGATGTCTGCAGGCCCGGATTGGCTAATCGGGAGAACCGGGAGAATTCCCGGTGGGCCGGTCCGTTTTTTGGCCGCGAGGGCCGGTGTCCCTAGCTGCTTGCACTCTCAGCAGTCGCACTTTTTTCATTTATTTGTTTATTTGACCATAACCTCACTCTTTTTAATCATTATTTTGCCGCAGCGCCGCTCTTTTTATTTATTTTCTCGCAGCCCCGTGAGCTAAATGCAGCCCGCAGGTTAATGATGATCATCATTAACCTGCGGGCTGCACCCCATTCCACCCCAAACAGCGGCACCTTAGTGAATATTAATTAATATTAATGAATATTACACCTGCTCAATGAAAATCAGATGATTCACTGCATTAATAAATCTTAACTTTTAATCTTAACATAACTTGATCAGAAATCTAAAATGGGGAGAAAAAGAGTAGGGTAAAAAAAAGAGTTGACATCAATAGGTGCAGATAACAGTGCAGCGCTTAACAGCGCTATCGTGGACTAGAGGTTAGCACGTTACTAGGGATGTAACGGTATCAGAATTTCACGGTACGGTAATACTTCGGTATGAATGTCACGGTACGGTATTTATTGAATCATTTACAGGAAAAACAAAGCTTATGAAAATACTCCAAAAAAGTGCCAAAAGTGTCAATGACATACAAATTAGTCATCTATCTGTAAGCTTTGAAACAGGAACTTCAATTTTAATAACAAAAAATTATTAAACCATGTAAAAAAATAAAGTTTCAATTTAGTATTGTTGAAAACTCATCACATTCAACATTTAATCACTCACTCACTTAGATAGAGATGAGTTTTAAGGAAAATTATCATATAAATATAATCTGGTAAAAGCTGGTATCTCTGGGCATTTACAATGTCCCCTGCAACAGAAAAAAACCCTCTCATTTGGGACTGAGGTTTCTGGGACAGAGAGATATGACTTGGCCCAGGTTGACAGCAGTGGGTAACGTTGTGCATTGTCTTTCCCCCACTTGAGAGGACAAGCCATGAGTGTGATAGAGGTCTCATGTCTGCATCAATCTGAACAGTGTGCTGTGTTTCTGCAGTCCCCATGACTGATTATTAGTCGTATTCCCCAACTTGCAGGCACGTGCACACACAGGGCTCAACCTGTGCAGTGCGCATGCCCTTTTTAGTCTTGGATAGAAAGTGCCCTTCCAAAATGATCAAAAGTGCCCCCGCGATGCGACACACGCTCCGTCCCGCCCTTCAGTAGGCGCGCGACAACAACGCTCTTGAGTATGCGCGCTCAACCCCCCTCTCTGCTTTAAGCAGGTCGCACACCAGAAGCGCCGCAACACGGCGCTCACATGACAGTTTAAAGTATCACACACCAGACGCGCACATTCGAATGATATTTAACATGAAACTAATTAGATGGCGCTCTGTGGCGCGGCTGAAAAATGAACTGCGTCCTGAGCCGTCGCCGGGCGCCGCCGACAGCCGCCGACTTGCGGTGCCGGTGTGTGTATCCTGATAGTAACCTATGTTTAGAATTCTAAAATACATGGCGCTGCGTGGCGCTGCGCGCCGCCGAGCGGCGCTTCTGGTGTGCGACCTGCTTTACAGTACGCGCGCAACAACACTGCTATTCAGTAAGCGCGCGGCGACAACACCCGCTTTAGGTTTCGATCATCTCCAGCTCTTTTTCATCCCCGCTACTAGAAGCACACTCCATTTCCGCATTACTGGATCTGTAGTGACAACAGACCGCAAAGGATTATGGCCAAGCCTGGGCTGATGGGAAATGTAGTTTCAGCTACCTCCCGTTCGCGTCATTCGCCTGAGCAAATTTTCTCAGAAGACCTATAGTTTTACCGAGTCATGCGACTACGGTAATATCGAAAAAAATTAATATTGCGGTATGACAGTATTTACAATACCGTTACATCCCTACACGTTACGCAATGACGCAGCTTACCCGAGTTCGAACCTCACCAGAGTAAAATATGTTTTTTTTTTTCAGTGTTAAGACATAAAATACTGTTTGGGTTACTTATGTAGGAATACATTTTTTTTGTGTGTGTGACGACTGTTACAAAGGACTGGGTATCTATAAAGAGTTAATGTTCTCATATTTATGAAAAACATTTGAAGTTCTAAAGCAGCTGTGTCCTTGACAAAGACGTGTTAGCGTCATTTGAAACTGAATTGGAGAATGACGTTATTTTAATATAGTCAGTCGTCGACTGAGGTGGGCCGGTCTAAGGCTTGAAACTCCCGAGCTAAAAAGGACTCCCACTCCAGCCCTGGATGTCTGTGTACGGTTGGGGGGGGTTCAATTTCACTATAAGAAAGTGTATGTGACAAATAAAAGCCTGATTTGATATTTTTTGTAAACCGACAATGCTGTGTGATTTAACTATTAGTTAAAACTTTCTTTAAATGACTTGTAAAGACATTCTTTAAATACTGTAAAAACACGGTCAACCGTTTGGTAGAGGGGCAGTGAAAGGGTTACACTGCATGTTTATTGGTGTTATCTTTCACAAATGTTTAACTCTGATTGATGGTCTTAAACATTATAGTGTGTCAAATGTGCAATAAAAAACAATAAGGGCGAACACTTTTTCACACCACTGTGTATAAACACACACACACAAATATATATATATATATATATATATATATATATATATATATATATATGCTTCAAAACCACCAGCATTTTCTCTGCATTACTATAGTATTAATTTGATATATTGTGAAACATGTATGTGTTTATTTTATGACTCATAACTAGGCCCACACGGAATCTGCGCGCGCAGAATTCCGCAGATTTCTGCAGATTTTTAGCCCATTATTCTGTTTTTTAACTTGAGTAAATGTGTAAATCTGAATTTATTCAGTTTTTATTCAGTGATTTATTACTTTTTATTTAATATATTAAGGGTTTAGTTATGATACTCCGCTGGATACTCCCAAAATAATTCTGCAGAAATCAGATTTTTACCAAAATTCTCTGCAGAAATAGCAAAAAAACGTCTGCAGATTCCGTCTGGCCCTGCTCATAACCTAATTAAATAATTATACACTAGTTTACTACAACATGCGTTAGGTGTGGCTTTCTCATGTAACAGACAGGAAGAGCAAATCTATAATGATTTTAGTATCAGTCTAAATTTTACGCGAGGCATTTAATACTTCCTTCAACAAAGGCCATCATTACAGTATTTTTATAACGGAGACTAGAAGAGAGATAAATAACATGTTTATAGACGAACATGCATGATATTTATTCTCAGTCATGTTCAATCCTACACACAGAAGCAGTTTGAGGACAAAAACCTGACAAATGTCTGAAATAAAACATCTGAACAGTGTTTTTAGCTGTTTTTCAGACTGGAGAATAATTAGAAATCATTAAATACTGTGACATCGTACAAATTATAAGCAGGATCTTCTCAAATTCACCTGAAGGCAGTGTTAGTGTAGTGTTTGTCTGATCATGCGAGTCACTTTATGTCAAATAAAACTCATCTAGATGCTTATATGAGATTTCTCTAAAATATGATTGAGAGCTGCACACTTGATTGAGGATTAAATGACTCTGAGTTCAGCTTTGAGAAATAAAAACTAACCTGTTTGTTCCTCAGGATCTTCATGTTTCAGTGTGAACACTTCTGTAATCCTCAGTTCTTCACTCTCCTCTTTAAGAGACGCCATCTTTATAACACTAGATGATAATGAAGAGCAGATCTCAGTCGCTTCTCCAGGAGTTTCCAACTACGTTTAGACACTTTACTCTGTTTAAGAGGAGAAAAACAACATAAATAAACAATAAAAATGAATGTGTTGACCAGTGTAGTTATTAATATAGCACATTTATCAACACAGAGAGTTTGTAAAGCTAGCTTGTGTGCATTTACACTGTTTTGACTGGATGTCAGAGGTAATATTAATCACAATATAACATGTTTAAAAGTTCCTCAGGTCACACGCAAAATATCACAGTTAATACAGTCAACTGTAGATTATAGAAAGAGACTACAATATAAGAGTCACATGTGTTCTCCATGTTAAAGCTTGAACACTGCTGGAGGCAGAAATCGTCTCCAGGTAATATTTTACATCTTTACAACTAAATAAGAAACCAGTTTTAGAGACAGAAAAGCGTTTGTGTCTCAACAATGTTGCTGGCAAAACAAACTGAGTTATTAGAGGATATTTATTTACTTCATCAGCGTAATAAAACTGATCATTTTGACTGAAATGAGTTCTGAAAGCTGTTTTTATCATGTTTGTTTACTGACAGATTGACGTCATGAGACGCGCCGTTTCTGCTACTCGCGTTCGCTTTAAACTAAATACGTCTTTTAATAAGATTAACTATCACACCATTACATTTATTAGTTTGGCATTACTTGTAAAATAAACTATAATTTGATTTAAACGAGGCTGTAGCGTTTAAGACACAAACCTTTTAGTTGAACAGCAAAACACAGAAGCGCGACGCAGGCATGTGACGTCACAGCATAGTATCAAAATAAAAGTCTAACGTAGGACTGAGCGATTTGGGAAAAAATCACCTCAACATTCTCCAATAGTGCACACACACACTTTATATTGTAAACTGTACATATCCAGTGTATCAGTAATTTATAACTATTGTGTGTGAGTGTGTGTTTCTGACTAAAAGACAGCTCTTTGTATCATTATGAGTAAAATTTTAAGACCCTAAGATTCAATCAATCCCATAAAGTTTAGTGAGAGACAGGGGCGTTGCTAGACATAAAGCTCCACTAGGGCACAGCTCCCCCTAAAAAAAAAAAAAAAAAAAAAAAAAAAAAAAAAATATATATATATATATATATATATATATATATATATATATATATATATATATATATACATATATATATATATATATATATATATACATATATATATATATATATATATATATATATATATATATAACATTTCTTAAATTATTTATTTTATAAAATATATATTTCTAAACAAATAACAGTATTATTGTGACTATACAATTATTATTGTAAATAAAAACAAGAATTATTCATAATTGTAACTGGAAAACAATCTAAAGACAGCTGGAGTGATGCTGTTATAATTAAAAATTAAATATTTTGCATGAATATTAATTTTATTGGAATGAAATTCTTTAGACATTTCTATAAAATACAAAAAAGATGTTTTATAGAATTAACTGTTGCTTGTTGTCTTAGACCTGACTTATAGCCGAGAATTAGGTTTAATAAGTCTTACCTCCCTGACTCATCATGCCTTCTTTTTTGAATCATGCATGGAACCATGCTTAGTCTAAACAAGATCGCTATCATATTATTTAAACTTTAAACGTACAGTTGTATGTAGAGAATTATTTTGGAATTACGACTCTTAAAAAAAAATACACTTTGAATATGAAGTAAATCGCATCTCAAAGCATTTACAGTGGCACTGGGGATTTTTACTGGGGCACGTGCCCCAGAAAATGCGGTCTAGTGACACCCCTGCTAAGGGGAGTGGGGTAACACAATAAAAGGTTTACATTTATATCTTATTCAAGAAGAAAGTTTGTAGGAAGAAGAAAATTCGACTGAGGTAATGTTTGTTTTATATTCACACATTCATTCGTTTTAGAGCAGTAAGAACTTGCGATGCACTACTTTGAATGTTTGGTCTTATATAGCACGTAAATACGACTGCAAAACAACTTTAGGACTATTTAATTGATTGAACAATGTTGTACTTTGATAGTTCTTGGCAGCTAATATGATTCAATCATTTAGAATTTGCGAAGAATACTTTACTGAAATTATTTTAGGAAGGTTAAAGTCCAAATGTGCAAATATAAAACCAGCTTCATCTCAATGAAAGTTCAGCGGCAGGAGAAATGATGTGGTGTTAAGAAAAATCAGTGTTGGGCAAGCTACTTGGAAAATGTAGTAAACTAAGCTATTAGTTACTCTACTGCAAATGTAGCTTAAATATACTAAAAGCTACCCGCGTTGGAAAATGTAGCTAACTACGCTAAAAGCAAAACTGCTAATGAAACATATGAGTCATGATTGTTTTACTAGACAGCAATAAAAAACAACAAATAGAAAATCATGAAACCAGGTGCAGCACACTTAAAATACAACAGTAATGTATAGTAAAGGGTAAAATAAAGGACTGCGTGTATAAATATATATATATCTCTACATTGACATGATAGCATCACAGTTGCTGCGGATTTGTCGGCTGCACATCCATGATGTGAAACTCCCACTCCACCACATCCCAAAGGTGCTCTATTGGATTGAGCTCTGGTGACTGTGGAGGCCATGAGTACAGTGACCTCATAGTCATGTTCAAAAAAACAGTCTGAGATGATTCACGCTTTATGACATGGCGCGTTAATATATTCTGCTTGAAGTAGCCATCAGGTGACCACGTGACCATCAGGAAGAACGCAGCATCTCGTCTCTCAGAGTTCTCACGGTCTCCTGAGGTAACCTGGCATGACCGGTCTTCACAAGAACACGAGTTCGTTCTCTGCATTCTTGGAATTGGGAAGCAGCTAGTTTCTTCAGGATCACTAGAAAGCTACAGCCAGATGTGTTGGATTTGAGTTGAAGCTAAACTCTGCAGTTGCCATTCCCTGATTTAAAACTATGGGGGCAACTTTAAAGGGTCACGAAACACCAAAACACATTTTTTGAGCTGTTGACAGTCGTATATGTGTCCCACACTGCTAAAAACACTATTAGGACACCTATATTTCACTAAAAAGTGTAAATTGGTTGTTTTTGCGTTATTTCAAGCAAATTCGTACTTCCTGTTTGAAACTAATTTTTGAAGCTGCGTCACGATCATGACATAATAGCGTGTATTATGTGTACACGCCCACTTTTCTGACTTTTTCCAAAGTAGAGGTGTGAAAACACCCTGCTGAAACGAGGGGGTTTCATGGCCCTTTAAACAGGCATTTCCGTGGAGTAAATCATAGCATAGACACGAACAGGCGCAGCAGCACTGGATGTTTGTTGCTAGATTAATCGGCAAGACAGGGCTGAAATGCTCACTTGTGCAAATCTTGAGGATTGTTATTGTGGCCAGACTTGCAGGCTTGCTTGGCCATGTGTAATTTGCGGGTCCTTACAGTGAACCTCTTTTCAGACTGAAAGCATGTAATCTCTTCTGTGTGGATCTTCATGTGCTGGTTGAGGTAAGTTTTACATACAAATCTCTTTCCACACTCATCACATGCGAACGGTTTAATTCCAGTGTAATGAGTTCTCATGTGTATAGTTTGGCTCTCTTTACTTGTAAAGCCTTTACCACACTGCGTGCATTTGTAAGGTCTCTCTCCAGTGTGCGTTCTCATGTGAACATGAAAGCCGTGTTTCTGGGCGAAACCCTTTCCGCATTGTGCGCAGGTGTAAGGTCTCTCTCCGGTGTGAACTCTCATGTGGACTTTAAGGGCTGACAATTGAGCAAATCTCTTTCCACACGGCCGGCAGGTATGCGGCTTCTTACCAGTGTGAACGTTCATGTGGGATTTAAGCAAATATGACGTAACGAATCTCTTTCCACAATGCTGGCAGGGAAAAGGCTTCTCTCCACTGTGAACTCTCATGTGCACCTCAAGGTTGGGCTTTTGACCGAAACTCTTTCCACACTCTGTGCATGAGTAAGGTCTCTCTCCGGTGTGAACTCTCATGTGCGATTCCAAACCTGATTCACTAATGCACCTCCTTCCACACTGATCGCATATTAAAAATTTCTCTCTGTGATTCTTCATGTGCTGGTCAAAGTATCTTTTCCGTTTAAAACTCTTTCCACACTGATCACATATGAAATGATTATCTTCGGCGTGAATCCTCTTGTGCCGGTTAAGTTGACTTTTAAAAACATAACTCTTTTCACACTGATCACACGGAAACGGTTTCTCTCCAGTGTGATGGATAATGTGAGAATTAAGAGTAGACTTATATGCAAAACTCCTTCCGCACTGTTGGCAGGTATACGGCTTCTCTCCAGTGTGAACACGAAAATGAGCTTTAAGACAACGCATTCGACTAAATCTTTTTCCACAATGCCGACAGGCAAATGGCTTCTCCCCGGTGTGAATGATCATGTGCAATTCAAGGTAGCGATTTTGACTGAATTGCTTTCCACATACAGTACACGAGTACGGTTTCTCTCCAGTGTGAGTTCTCATGTGAAGATTAAGGCCATGTTTTCGACTAAAATGTTTTCCACACTGATGACAGGGGAAAGATTTGGTTTTCTCAGCTCCTTCACAGGAAGTGTTCTTTGCCACTGAAGATGGTTCATCGGTCATTAAATCTGTCTGTTTCCCACACTGATCTTTCTCTTCAATTTCATTCACTTCCCGAGTCTCTTCTGACAGCACAATCAGCCCTAATGTGAAAAAACACCAGTTAAAGTCACAAAACAGCAGACATGAAAACCAACACAGAATATCTAAACCATTGAGTGCTACAGGGCTCAGCATTAGGTCCTCTACTTCTATCTTTGTAAATATTTCCACTAAAAAGTTATTGTCATGCAAGGTTTCTGCGGATCCTAAACTCTTTGAAGGTCTAAGATCTCATAAAGAGCAGTAAGTCTTAAATACATAATGTTAAGAAAGGGAAACTAACAGTTGATAACTTAACAACTGGTGTGTTAGATCATGCGAAGATTCAGAGTTGGAGGTTCAATAAAAACTAGATTCTTAAAGTTTGAGAACAAACTTTGAGGCTGGCTTGTGAAAGCCTGATGGTTGGTAGATAGATAGATAGATAGATAGAAGATAGATCGAAGATAGATAGATAGATAGATAGATAGATAGATGGTGTGCTAGCATGAGTCAAACAATCCAACCCCCGCTTCTCTACGATGTTCTGATGCTGAGATATAGCTGCTGTTATATCGTTGCTAGGTTAGTCTGTTTTGTTGCTATGGAGTTGATTGACAGCTTAGACTGATGATGTATCAAAGCTACTTTCCAGTATGAACAGTTAAAAACAACCCCCATGTCTTTATCACACTGCAGCATGACGATATCAATCTGAACATCTGTAATGGCAGTCTATGGGACAGTTGCTAGGGTGCAGTATGTGGTAGTTAGGGTTTGGCAAGAAAGTTAAAAGGCCATCAGTGATTGGCTGCTGGCTAGACTGAGTTAAATGAGCTCAGCCATTAGTCTGTAGGACAGTCTGACGCAGAGTTATGAACTCACAAAGTTTGGAAGTCTATGGGACGGTTTCTAGGGTCCAAAAGTGGTTGCTAGGGCATGGCCAGAAAGTTTAAAGGTAATCGGTCATTTGCAGTTTGATAGACAGAGTTAAATGAGCCCAGTTAGAATTCTGTGTGACATTCTAATGCGGAGTTATGAGGTCACAAAGTTTGATCCAATGTTACGTCTATGGGATTTTTCCGACGGTCCCGGGACGTTTTTCGGAAAACCGAAAGTCGGATTAGTCGGAAAAGATATAGCAACTCAAGTCAGAATAGTTCGGAGGTCTGACCCGAGTTTGATGGTCATAGCTTGAAAGGCCTAGGAGGAGATAGAGTTTAATTTTTAGTCTCAGAAGAAGAAGAATAATATTAAGTTTAATAGGATAACAGTAGTCTGGCTTGCTACACAAGCCAGCCTAATGAGGAGCATATACTGAACATAGTTTGCAATTCTATGGAAGGAGGTCTTCACAATCGCTTAGAGTTCGCTGGCCGATCTCGCTGCCTTACAACAACACAGCAGTTATACTCCAACAGAAAGCCAGAAATGTCGTCAACTGAGGTATAAAGATCCCGATTGGTTAAAACAAAGATAGGCAATTCTAAATAGGTATGCAGATGCGGGTTCATATCCGAGTCTTGATAGGGAATGGAGCCAGGAGTCACATGCCAGATGGTCCACAGGCTATTCAGTGCTGATTCCAGATCTGTAGAGCTGACCCACGGAAGCATATAATGCACACAAAGAGGACAATCTGCTTCATGCTCAAGGCCATTTCTTGTACTCTTAACTGAAAATTACTATCAAAAGAATTAACACATAAAATAACAAATAACCCAGGAAACAATTCCATTCCATCAGGCCTCTCCATGACCTTTGACCCGGCTTGGTAGCTCCTTCCTGAAATGAATGTGAAGATTGAAACCCACTCTAATAATATGATCGGGGCACTGACTTTCAAGAGGAATTGTTTCCTCATGCCTTTTTCAGTCTTCACATGAGGGCATAAAGTACTTTGAAAAGGCTGAGCGAGAGCATAGCGTCTTGAAACACTGACACCTCGACATTGTAGTAGGCGGGGATGTAAATGTGTCGAACTGCTCACATGTACACAACCACAACAGAAGTGCAGTTTCATAAACAACTGGTAAACAGACTTCTCCACAAGAAGCACCACCATGGCGGATCACATCTGTAGTTTAACAAGAGGAAGTTGAGATGTTGGTGCGATTTGTCATTTTTCACAACATTAATACTAGGCTATAGCCAAATGGAGAGCCAGGTCCATGCAGCAAAAGTGGGCTTAGGGCATAGTACGTAGGCAGATCTGGGGGCTTCTGAGTCGGGAGGAACCAGCAAGTCATAAACCATGGTGGATCTGGAGGCTCTGGGTCAGGAGGCATCGGATGGAAAAACAGCTCTAGTGGTGGCCACCACTCTTGGAGCTCAGGATGTGCTATCGATGCCTCTTGCAGCTGTAGATCTGGCGGCGGCCACTTTTGAATCCCAGGTTGCGGCATTGATGGCTCTGGCAACAACGGCTTCGATTATGGCGGAAGCTCAGGTAGTGATGGCCATTCCAGCAAATCAGGAACAGAAACCATGACAGAAAGAGACTTGGGAGAGGAAACCAGCTTGTGAGTTTGTGGCAAACCGTCTGTGACCCTCTGGTGAGCTGGTGAACTGGCTGCAACCATTTTGGGAGCTGGTAAGACTGGAAACAGCCTGATCTTGTGGAATGAAGAACAGACAGCATCCAAGTCACCAAGACAGACCTTCGAGGACCATGAAGGATGAGGGTGGTCTTTAATGATTACATTAGTCCACAAAAGAATTTTCAATGAGCACAGTCAGAAAGATCTGCGAGGTCAGCAAGGACTAAAGCAGTCCCTCCAGAATTTTGTGATTTTGCGATCGCTGAGTTCCTTGCGAAAATCAAGCAAACTCTGCAAAATGTTGTGGATCTTGCGTTTTTTTCTAAAATGCCATGAACTTCCCACAAATTCTGGGTCTGAATGCTTTCTATGACAACATCACGGATGCAATCAACCCTTAATCAGCCATGATTTTACACACATCCTTATCGTAGGTGGCAGTATATACCTTTATGCTGGTCTGTAACTCAGGAATTAACCAGACGAAGAAGACATACGAGTAAACATACAAGGTCGCATTTACCAACAAATATTACTCAGAAAGACTTTGTTTGCATTCTTATGGTCACGCATTGTTGGCATTAGGGCTGCACGATACATCGTTTCAGCATCGACATCGAGATGTGCGCATCCGCAATAGTCACATCGCAGAAGGTGCGATGCAAAGCAAAAAAATATAAAAATGATTATAAATATATATATATATATATATATATATATATATATATATATATATATATATATATATATATTAGTGCTGTCAATCGATACAAAAAATTAACTAATTAATTGCACCTTTTTTTTAAAATTATCGCGAATAATCGCATTTAAAATACTGAAACTTGTAATTTTGCCTATTTAAATGTAAAATTAATGTAAACGCAAGACAAAAAATATTTAAATTCAAAATATAATTGTTATTAGAATTTTTGCCAGAATCAATGCCAATAAAGAAAACATTGATTTCCATGTTGGATTCTAAGTGGACTGCAAAAAAATGCCAAAATACAGGAATTGCAGATGAGGAAAATGAAAATTATAATAATAAACTATAGAATACAAACTGTTGCACTCATTGTAAAGTTTTATTGCTGTGAGTTGAGAACATTAGTTATAGAGTAGAAAAAATTTAGCTTAATCCTCCTTTACATTCATCCAGTTGCTAAGACTAGGAATATCCCGCAAGTGCACAGAGACTCCCGGATGCCCGCAAATGAATGATAATTTCTTGCAAACCGGTCGTTAAATACATTGCAGACCCCTCTCCACCGCATCCCTCCTAGACTTCAGGTATGTCGCGCGCAACTCACTCCCACCATCCCTCAGGTACGTCTCGCGCGCACACGCCCCTACTCAGATACGTCGCTCACTCTACCCCTGACACCCCTCAACGGGCCTGACACAGACACACACACACACATAACGCGCTGGAGCGACTCCCTTCAGATTCAACTCGCATGATCGCGTTCATCAAATTTGCTTAAACTAAGCGTTCTAAAGTATTTCTGTATTTCACAAGGATTCTGACACAACAACACGAAGCATGCGCTTTCGTTGCGTTTAATGAGGAAACACGCTAAACTTGGAGGGCTCATGCTGAAAGGCAGAGTAATGCCCTGTCTTTGACAGCTCGCGACTTCACCAGACTTTCTGAGTACATTTACATAAGACACCAATACTCCGATTTTAATATGATTAAGATTATACTCTTATTAAAAGTCTGCCGTGTAGCCTAAGCAGTGATTTTATTACCTTAATGGAACACCGAGTCACGAAATGCGGAGGATTTTCTTTCTGTTCGCCATGCGGTGTCAACTTACAACAGAAAGTTAAAAATGAAACACCCGAAATTGCATGAAACTCTGGATAACCTGATGCAACTAATTGTTTTATACAAAAACTTGCCTTCAAAAAGTGCTTCCTTGGTCTTATCCACATTTCTTGCATGTTAAACACACGTCCACCAAAACAGGAAGTAAAAAAAAAACCTGCAACTGCGTTAATTTTTTTTAACACGTTAATTATTTAAAATTAATTGCATGCGTTAACACACTAATTTTGACAGCGCTAATATATATATATATATATATATATATATATATATATATATATATATATATATATATATATAAAATAAATAAATAATTAATACAATTAAATAAAAAATATATAATTTCTAAACTGTCTACGGTTCTATATTTATCTGTTATAAATGAGTAAACTTAGACATAAGGAATTTGGAAAAACGAATTGATCAGCACACATTGCGTAACATGCTTCATGCATGCAGTCTCCACGTGACCATGATGAAATGAGCGCGGAACGGGAGAAAGGCGCCGAAATGGAAGATTTGGTTGGAAAAAGAAACGCAACATCGGTTATATGGAAGTATTTTGGATACAAAAATGTAAAAGTATTTTGTCGGGAGTGCCTGGCATTTGTGGCCACAACTCGCAGAAACACCACTAATTTGTTTGACCATTTAAGTCGGCATCACAAAGCACTGTATGACGAATGCGGAG